GGGGGTGGGAAAAACCACCGTTCTTTATACCTGCAGTGTCGTCAAGGGGGCGCAAATGGCGATTGCGCGGCGCGAGCACCAGCGGAGCCTGCAGCCCCTGATTAAAGACGCCACCAGGGCGGTCACGCATGCCGCGTCGAAACTCCACGCGTCCGTCGCGGCGGTGGCCCCCTCGACCACCGCGGATGGTCCGGAAGTTGCCTTTTCGCCCGAATTTTCGCCCGGGGATGCGGAAAAAAATGAGGAAGAGGCGACCCTGGCGGCGGCGTTGGAAGGGCTGGCGAGCGCTGTTGAGGCCCAAGGGGCGGTCTTCGACCGCCTGAGCCGAGGGCTGCGCTGCTGCACGCCGTCTTTACTCCTCCAAAATGGCGTCGGGCAGGACGAGCTGCCCCTGTCGGTTCGCCAACTGCTCCATCCCCTTGGCGCGGTGGGCGATGCGGACCGCCCCGAGGAGCCCCCCCCGCGGGAGGCCCCCCTCCACGGCTACCACCGCCGTCCCATGCGAGCCGTCGTCGACGAATCCCGCCAGCGCGCCTGCCACGCCCCGCTGGCCACGGCCTTGGAAGGGTATCTCGCGCGGCTTCAGCGGCTGGGGGATTTGTTGACCCGCCTGCAAGGCGAGGCGGACCCCGACGGCCCGAAAACGGCCCCGATGCTCGACGACGATCAGGCCGAATTGCCCCCGCTCCACTTCGCCCTCCTTTCCCTTTTGATGTCAGGGCGCGAGGTGCGGGAATTGACCGCGGCGGCGGGGATGACCAGCCCCGCCGCGGCCTCGGAGGATCAAAGGCGGTCGTGGGAGTTTTTAATTCGCGATCGGCTCTGGGGCCCGAGGGCGGTGTTTCCCGCCAACGCCCCGGCCTCGCGGGCTCAACCGGGCGGGCGAAAGGGGGAGGCGGAAGGGCGGGAATGGAGTCCCCTCCGACCGCGCCGGGAGAAGATTTTTGCCGCGGTTCAGATGCCCTCCACGATGCATCTTCCCTTTTTGGATTCGGACCAGGCCGTCGGGTGGGGGCGCGTGTACGCGGAAAAGCAGGTCGAGCTCATCCAGCACATCCGGGAGTCCATCAACGACGGCGTTCGCCAGGTGTTTCGCGTCTTTGGCGACCTCGTGAACGGCGTCGCGGCCGTCTCGCAGGCGACCAAGCAGCACGTCATCCTCTGCAGCGATCGCAGCCTCTTCGCACACCTCGACCTGCCCTTTCTCTGGGCCTGGAGCCCTTCGCAGATCTTCATCGACGACCTGGACCGGCTGCCGGATGCGGGGTTGTTGGTGCTTCCCGCCGCCCCCTCCCTGACGCTGGCCCTGCCGGAGAAGCTGCCGGCCTACGCCGAGCGCTTTCACGGCCAGGCCGCCGCGGTTCTCCTTCGGGGGCTGCGGAAGGAGCTGCAGAACACCCCGGCCTTCGCCACCGCGACCCTGAACGAGCCGCTGCGTTGTACCACAGATAGCCTGCAGCGGGTGCTGGGGAAGTTGTGCGCGGGCGACGCCCACCTGATCGCCCCTGGGG